AGGCACAAGCAATGTAATCTGATCAAAGTCACTTTTGAATTTATCTTTAAAAGAAGTTTAAACCATGTTCCTGAAGAATCAAGAATCAATATTGTTAGGACTTCCCTGATTCTTGTCTTGAAAGTTAGATTTACAATTTTAATTGCAAGTAGTAAATTTCAGTTTGGATTTATTGGTATATGTACAACCAAAGTTCAACGAAGTATTGAATTTGATAATAGAAGCTCCTACAGGAAAGTATCTTTATTTTGTGTTAGTGTGTTCTATAGGGCCATAAATATTAATAGATTATATTAATTAATACATTATATTAATTAATACATGTAATTTAGATACCAAACACAGATCTCCCATATATTTTACTTCATTTCCATTTACTATATTTTCCGGCGTATAAGATGACTTTCTAAACCCTGAAAATCTTCTCAAAAGTCGGGGGTTGTCTTATACGCCCAGTCGTCTTATACGCCGGAAAATATGGTAGGTATATTCTGCAACTGAGTGCTTGTAATATGTGCCCTGCAGGAGGCGTGTGAAGAGCGTAGGCGCAGAGCAAGGCCCCGCCCTCCCCAGGGACTCATTTCAGATTTACACCACAAAAGTTTTTCTCGTGCAGAGGAGAGAGGAAAAACAATTGCGGAACACTCGGGAATCCCTTGCAAGGCACCAGGTACCTTGGTGCTTATTTCCTAACACCTTCCCCCCCCCCCCGTGTTTTCTGTTCCACCCCGAATTCGCCTCCCTTCCACTCTCCTTACGCAGCCATCAGTCTGTCTCGCTTTCAGCACACCCTAAAATTCTTCATTCAGGCAGGCTTCCAGAGTTCGGTTGGCAGGATGCAGGTAACCCCTCCCCCCTGTCCTGCCGCCTCCCACGGCACCGCGCCGCGCCGCATCCCCCGCCTCCGTGTCTCAAGCCTCCGTGGCACAGAACTGCTGGCGTTATGCTTGGGCGGAAGACTTTTTCTTTTACAGATGGGGTGGGTGGGCCTGACATTCGCGGGCAGGCAGGACCCCGGCCGCCGAGCCACCACCTCCCCATCGCCCTCCACGCCAGCCGGCTCCGTCGCCAGACCTCCCAGCTGACGGGCGCAGGAGTTCGGCGCTGCGGGGCTTCCCCTTCGTCCTCTGTACCGGCCAAAGCGTTGCCTGACGTTCCAGCTGATGGGCGCAGGTCCAGGGGTCGCCAGCTGACGGGCGCAGGAGGTAGGTGCCGCAGCGGCCTCCCAGCCACTTACTTCTTCGGCTGGAGCAGTTGCAAGGGCTTGCATGGTCCCCAAGGGCCGCTGACGCGCTCCCTGCTGCCGGTGACCATGCAAGCCGTTGCAACTGCTCCAGCTGAAGAAGTAGGCAGCTGGGAGGCCGCCGCGGCTCCTACCTCCTGCGCCCATCAGCTGGCAACCCCCGGATCTGCGCCCATCAGCTGGAACATCAGGCAATGCTTTGGCCGGTGCGGAGGGTGAAGGGGAGGCCGCCGCAGCTCCGAACTCCTGCGCTCGTCAGCTGGCGACCCCCGGATCTGCGCCCGTCAGCTGGGAGGTCTGGAGACGGAGACGGCTGGCATGAAGGGCGATGGGGAAGCGGCGGCTCGGCGGGCGGGATCCTGCCTGCCCGCGAATGTCGGGCCCACCCGCCCCATCTGTAAAAGAAAAAGTCTTCCGTCCAAGCATAACCTTTAAGGATTTTAAGGATCTTTGAGAGGGAGAGAGAAATAGAGAGAGGGAGAGAAAGAGGGAAAGAGAAATAGAGAGAGGGAGAGAGAAAAAGAGAGGGAGAGAGAGAAAGAGGAGAGGGAGAAAGGGAGAGAAAGGGAGACGGAGAGAGAGAAAGAAGGAGGGAGAGGGAGAGAAAGAGGGAGAGAGAGAGAAAGAGAGGGAGAGAGAGAAAGAAAGAAGGAGAGAGATTAAATTAGTAACATGGCTGTTCAGTGAATCTGATTTCCCCACTAACTTTGCTTGTCACAAGGTTGCAAAAGGTGATCACATGACCCTGGAATAATGTGACCATCATAAATAAGAATCGGTTGCCAAGCATCCGAATGTAAATCATATGACCCTGGGGATGCTGCAGTGGTCATAAGTGTGAAAAATGGTCATAAGTCACTTTTTCCACTGCCGTTGTAACTTTGAACAGTCACCAAGCAAACTGTTGTAAGCTGAGGACTACCTGTACTTTATCACTTTTTTCCTTCTTTTTTTTTTTGTCATCAAGCTTTTGACATCTTGCTGGGTGACTGGTGGTACTCGAATGTTGCCATATTCTAAAAGGGGTACAATCGGTGAAAAGGTTGAAAAGCCCTGCTTTACACATGTGGTTTGGCATATTACTCATCAAGTTTTCTCTCCCCCCCCCCCCTCTCGCTCAAACTCTATATTTTAACTGGAAAAGTTGGGGGTCGTCTTATACGCCGGAAAATACGGTATATTAATAAAGGTTATTAAGAAACAGCACAATTGCAAGGGAGTAAGCCTCATTCAAAGATATAAATAATACAGAGTAGATGTCTTCTGCCTCAATTATATCTCCTCCAAATATAATAATACTTATTTCTCTCATTCTAATCTAAAGGTTTATTGAGTGCTATCAATTCACTGTCTTCTTTAGAATTGGGATTCTCTAGCAAATTAAGTGTCCCTTCAACTCCACTGTATTTAATGCCAAG